TTTATGATAATTGATGCGAATCTGGAATTTGCTTCGAGAATTTGGAGCGAATCTACCTTTTTTTTATTATATATTCTTGTGTTAAAGTAATTAACACGTGATACAACATTCGGTAAATACTTATTTATTATTTTTTTTTTTTGTGGCAAAGTAATTGCATTTGAGAACTCGAGTTTCAAAATTGTCAAGTACCTTTTTTTTATTCATGCATTACATATTTACGTTAGTTGGTGTATTTTCTAGTGGATATTTCTTGATTTGGTAAATAAACCATTCTGAACATTGAATTATTTCAACTACTTGTGGAATATGATTGTACTGTGACGTCTACCAGTGTTTACCTCAAGGAATATTCTTTACACTTCTTTAAATTCTTTTAGATTTTATTTGATGGCTTATCAAAGGCCAAAAAAAATATCCAAGGGTTGTTTAAAATTTAACGTGTGTGAAAGACTTGAACCACTGCTCTTTTTATTATACCAAGCTTGGCATATTAAAAGAGCATTGGTCTAACTTTGCCACTTCCCTATATATTATGTGGTAAACTGGTTAAACCGAATTATTTTATTTAAAAATTAAAATTAACTGGTTAATCTGCAGTGTTTTAACTCTCTTGTCTTTCTTTCCAGGTCCTCCCAGTGGTTGAAGGCCATCGGTGGAATGCCCTGGAGACAAAGGTGCGTCTTGGGCATTAATGCTGTACGGTTTTAGATTGGCTTATGTGATGATTCCCTTTTTTTCCGTCTGCGGTTTCCAACAGATGGCCTCGGTCAATGATGGCTAGGAACGTCTGAAGAAATCTTTGCGAATGCTAAGGCAGTGAATTATGAAGTGTTCTAAGTTTGTTTTTTTACTTTCCAGGATGTCGAATGATCAAAGCAAGTTGGCAAACTGGGCGACGACTCCCCCAAAGGAAGCCCATCTTCAAAATGGGCCGAAAGCAAAGGTGTGTTTTTGAACATCGTCCTTTAAGAATCTTGGTGAATTGGTTTATATGATGATTCCCTTTTTTTCCGTCTGCGGTTTCCAACAGATGGCCTCGGTCAATGATGGTTAGGAACGTCTGATTTGCATAATAATAAGTCTGAAGTCGACCAGCTTGGTTTTGAATTCCTTTTTTTTAAATTGCCCTTTTGTTTCTCTCCAGATTATCTGAAGGCCTGAAGCAGAGCCGTGAATGGACTGAAGATGAGGTATGTTTTGGTATTATCGTACAATCGTACAGACTTGTAATATATTTAATGATGATTCCCTTTTTTTCCGTCTGCGGTTTCCAACAGATGGCTTCAGTCAATGATGGTTAGGAACGACTGATTTGCATAATAATAAGTCTGAAGTCGACCAGCTTGGTTTTGAATTCCTTTTTTTAAATTGCCCTTTTGTTTCTCTCCAGATTATCTGAAGGCCTGAAGCAGAGCCGTGAATGGACTGAAGATGAGGTATGTTTTGGTATTATCGTACAATCGTACAGACTTGTAATATATTTAATGATGATTCCCTTTTTTTCCGTCTGCGGTTTCCAACAGATGGCTTCGGTCAATGATGGCTAGGAATGTCTGATTACAGTTGATATGAATGCTAAGGCTGTGAATTTATAAGTGTTCTAATAGGCTTTTTTTTTCTTTCTAGGTTGTTCAAAGTAAATTATGAAGCAAACTGGCAGAAATTGATGACTGCTTGAATAAGGAGTCGATACTGGCAAAAGAACATCTTGAGGCTAAGGTACGTTTTGGGGTGTCGGCCTATGTATTTTAATGAATTTGTTAATGATGATTCCCTTTTTTTCCGTCTGCGGTTTCCAACAGATGGCTCAGGCCAATGATGGCTAGGAATGTCTGATTACAGTTGATATGAATGCTAAGGCTGTGAATTTATAAGTGTTCTAATAGGCTTTTTTCTTTCTTTCTAGGTTGTTCAAAGTAAATTATGAAGCAAACTGGCAGAAATTGATGACTGCTTGAATAGAGAATTGATGACTGCTTGAATAAGGAGTCGATACTGACAAAAGAACACCTGGAGGCTAAGGTACGTTTTGGGGTTGTCGGCCTATGTATTTTAATGAATTGGTTAATGATGATTCCCTTTTTTTCCGTCTGCGGTTTCCAACAGATGGCCTCGGTCAATGATGGCTAGGAACGTCTGACTGGAATAATATTGCATGGAATTGTATGATAATAGGACTTTTTTATTAACTTAGTTCTTATTTCTTTACAGACTCTGTGGGCATTTATTGGCAAGATTTAAGATGATCTGTGACTGAAAGGTATGTATTTTGTGTAGACCAATTCATTAGTAGCTTGTTTTCGAATGTTTAAAATTTCATTATAGTTTATAGGGTTTCTATTTTCTTCTGGCACAGAAAATAGAAAATTAATCTTGCTTGGGTATGAAAAGATTCATTGGGATTTGATTATTGAAGTAGTTACATGCAATGGGAATATTGCTTAATCCCTTGTTAAAAATGAAAGCCTTTGTTTCATTTTTTGAGGACCAAGCAAAGAGTAAATGTTTGTAAGAGAAGGTAAGGCTTGTGCTCTATCATGGCCTTGCAGCATTACGCAGCCAACAGTTTTCGCAAAATTTTGAAAAAGAGATTGGTATTTTATCCAGTATACTAACGTGCTCTTTTGTCCCTGTTTCAGATGGTTTTCTTCACTGTAGCATTCCAGATTTTTTTTCTCTACTGACCTGGAAGGAATGGTAAGTTCATTTGCTTTATTTGTGTAAAGATTAAATTTAGGGTTTGAGTTCTGACTTATAAAAGTTACCAGTAATTAGATTATTTGTGCAGTAAAATATACATAGAAAGGGTTGAAAGAAACCTTATTTTTTAATTTTATTATTATTATTTTTTCTTAACCCCATGTCCTTTTTTTATGTATATTATCTTGATTAATTTCATTAAGTGACAATTATTTTATTGGTTTCGTCAGATTTTTTTTTCTTTGAATTAATGAATTGATAACTTGACACCTATAAACTGTTGCTTACTCGGTTACGTGAAATGATTTCCATTATATTTCATTTTTTGGAAGAGTGAGCAAAGAGTAAGGTTTGCTGAAGCGGCAATTTGTCTCTATGGCTTGCTTGTCGTCTTGCAACCAACAAGGTCCTGGAAATAGGACTTGTATTACCAAGTCCTTGCTTGCATAAATAATAAATAACCAGAGTTTTCTTCTTCAGGTGTGGAGGAAGGGACTCCTTTGCTAAGTGTATGGCAGATGGAAGTGATTAATAGACTGGACTGCTATAGGGTAAGGATTGGCTTTCTGGGAGATGATTACTACTTAAAATAAGTTAAGGTCAATAGCTGATACTTAGAAATTTAGTGTAGATTTAAAGTAGATTTAAAGTAGTTTGATAAATTCCCATAAGTGACAAATAACTAGTCCTTATTATCCACCATTCTCTTGTGCAGACTTTATGCTAAATTATTCATTGATGGACTGTTGGCCGCATTGACAAGGTTTACTAAATTGAAATTTTGCTATGGATTGTAAATATTAGTATTTTATAGCTTCATTTTAGGTTTTGACCACTTTTATGAAATTAAGTCGGCATTGTAAATTTGCCTATGCTAATTCTTGAATGTATTGGTGTAGCTGTCCAATGATTGGCTTCAGCCCATAGCCTAGTCTGGTTATTCTGAAGTTTATCCGAGTCTAATGAATCTTCCACTTCACTTTCCAGGTACTGAGTTAGATTGATGGCTTCTTCCATGACCAGGAAAAATGCAAGTATGTGGAGCAAAAAGGAGGCCCTATAGCTGGAGTTTCCCAACCCCTCTCCTCATCCCTCAGGGCAGAGCACCAAATGAGGGACTGTCAGGACGGATGCCCCTTTTTGGTACATGCCACATTTTGCAAATCTTTTTTTTTGTTTGTTTGTTTGTTGCAGTAAACCTCCTGCAATGGACGTGTCTTGGTGTGTAGACCTGTAATAAAAGTATCGTGTGGTTCTGCATGATATTATTATTCCAAGGTGTGCCTGCTGCTTTTTTGTCAATAAAACCTTGTGTGTTACTTATATTTTACTATCCCCTTGCATGTAATTTGTATATTTTGCAGTTATTTATTTTGGCTACTTAGCTAAATTTAGAGTACTGCTGCAGACTATGATTTCAACTAGATATGAATTTTTTTATTTTTTGTGATCCCTATTTGTATATGTGCAGTAAATTGATGTGGATTCCACTTTCTTTGAAAATGGATAATTGAGTAAATAATTAGTTACCATGCTTGCCCCCCCCCCTTTATCACGTTCTTTGACTGCACTTTTCACCACCTTTTTTTTTGGTTTGTCTGTTCATCCAAAGTTAATGATATGACTTCACCTGAAGTATACAAGAGATGTATTTGTCAGATTTGTGTGCTTTAATTTACTCTATTAATAATTTGAGACATTAACTTTGCTGGTGTTTGGTCAGCAATAAGACAGTACCTGACTTTGATTGCTAAAATTTTTGATAGGTTTATCATTCACATTGGGAATGTAGATAATGAAACCCATTTATCTTTTGATACTTAAATTTTAATTTTGATCAAGTTCGCACTGAAATTGAATATATCGCCACACCCAGAATGCTTTTATGCTGGCTGGAAGGTAAGGAGGATGAATAAAATTAACTTGGTCTAAAATAAGAGTTAAGACCAAGATTTCTTGTCCCTACCAATGGAATCCAAGAATAGGTACAAGTTTGTCTAATAAGCCTGGCTTAGTCTTATGGGCTGGATGCACTAGGTTAGGGCTAATTAAGATTATTGTAGATGACCAAAGTTGTTGGTACAAGAAACCATCTGCAGACAGAAATGGTGATGCCAAAAAGGAAAGATTGCACCAGGTGCAGCTTGCAGCTCAAGTCCACTTGGTGCTCTGGAGTTTAATCATCTTGTGAATAAGCTGAAGACCATTTGTCAGGGAGTGTCTGGGGTGAAGCACCCCATTGCCCATCCTCTTGGGCCCTCTCAATCCCCTGCTTCATGTCATAAAGGGGTCTTGGGAGATAGACTAGGGGATTGCCCCTACTTTGGACCTCAGCCTACACCTTCACTAATTTTACATGATCTTTTCTTTCCATTTCTAATTTCCCTTGCTCTGTCCTCTTATCCTAATCATTACCACATTACTGTATCATATGCTCCCTACTCCCTTAACTCCTTCCCCTTCTTACAACTTGCATTGTGCTATTCCCCATCACCTCCCTCTCTACCCCTTTTCACTACCATACTGCCCTCTAATACTGTTCAACCTGGACGTTACCCTAATCATTAACTCCTTCCTAACCCTTTTTGCTACTCTATTTGACCATAGTGCCATATGACTTGATGTCATATAACACTGGCTTACTCCCAAGCCTCACGCTATCACTATAATTTGAATACACCGCCAATGACCTTTAGATGTTGACATGACAGATAATTTTCAATCAATAATAAAAAAAAAAATCCCCTCAAGGGCCCCCAATCCCTTGCTCATTTTCATGAATGGGCTTAGGAGATGGAGACTGAGGCCCAAAGTAGGGGATCACCCCTGCCTTGGCCCTCGTCTTGGCTAATTATGCATGGTCCTTTCTCCTTACATTTTTATTTCTCTTCATTATTTATCTCCTGTCCATCTATCTTAATCATTAATTCATTTCTACCTTTTGATGTCTGCCATACTTTTTGACCAGTAACCACTGGAAATCTACAAACAACCTTGTGAACCAAAAAAACTTCCTTACCTGGGGGCTTCATCCGCAAGCCCCACCCTATCTCTATATTTTGAATATGCTGCTAATATTGATGTGGCAGAAAATTTTCAATGAATAAATAGTTAATCCCCTTAGGCAGTCATTAGTGTCCAGTTACAGCAACTTGGAAGGGTGAAAGAATTTTGATGTTGAGTTAGGAACTAAGTGTGTCCATGCTGTAAAAAATTCCCAAAGGCTGCATCAACTATTCCTCATAGTTGTGCATCAACTATTCCTCATAGTTGTGAACTTCCCAATTTTCCTGTGAATTTTCTAGGGATGAAAGGAAAGGTTTGAATGCCTGTCCTCATGAGATGGCATGGTGACTTCACAGACAAGAAAACAATGGGGAAACTCCTTCCTTACCAAATAATCTACCCACCTGTGAGGTCATCTCTATGTGTGCCTGCTGTTCCTGTACTCTTTTATGGACAAGCATTATTGTTAATGGCTACCAAAAGATCCAAAGATCCAAATGTTAATTAAAAAATTCTAGATATGTACATGTAATTTTTGTGAAAGCCCCATGGTGAAAGTAGAAAAAAAATATGTAGCTTTATATATATTTGTATATATCAAATTGTTCTTTGTTTTGGAGTTAAGAAAAAGAATTGGGGATATAAATAATGGCATAAATGGGGAGGTCAGTCTGACTTTATTCTGTTGATAATGGAAACTGCTAAAGCCTTCTATCTTGATTTTAAGAAAATGGGCCTTTCTAACAGGAGTTGGGGAAGGAGAGGTGACAAGGGTGGTTGGCCCCCTCCCCCCTGTAATCATTTGTTCTATGACTACATAGTTTGGTATCTGTCTAGTAACTAATTTCTGAATGCAAAATCGGCACAAAGATTGCAGTATCACAGCTTTTATTAAATGATCCCACTTTTATTTTGAGAAAAGTGTTGGATCAAGAAAACCCAATCCTGTCAAGACCATGCCAATGGCCATTGAAATAAGATCTGAGATCATGGTTACATTCTATTGTTCAATATCTCTAGATGAAAAAAGTCTTTAGGTTACGGAATTGTATTTAAAGTGATAGTGAACTTTAAACTGAATGTGTTAGATTATGAAAAGATATTCCAATACCATTATTTAACTGAATACACTCTTACCCTTGCCTATACTGGTGACAATGACAGTGGGCAAAACTGTGATCCCTGTGAGTGGAGATGAGTACAAGTGACATCTTCCGTGAGAAAACCTGAGGCTTGGATATGATAATAAAATGCTACTAGTGTTGGTGTTGGATCCCAGGCTCCTCATACTTTATTTGGCTTAGTTAGGGGTATTTTACCTCAACAGAGGGTATGCCTACTTTGATGGATTGCCTGTGGTTTCCTCACTAGTGGTGTCATCTCAACCTGTACCCATTGGCTAAATAGGAGAAATTACTGAGATAAACTTAATTTCTTTAATATTTAGCCAGGCCAGGAAAAGGCACAGGAGTTAATGTAAACACAGTTAAAGAAAACTGCAGTTTGAGAAGATAGACCTAAAAAGAAAGAAAGAAAAAAAGAAGAAGATTGAAATTAAATGTTTCATTCACAAGCTTTAGAGAGTATGTGTGTCTTCAAGTAGACTGCAAGTTTTTCTTGCTTTCTGAACAAATATAGTTGGTCTGTCCATACAATAAAATGTTTATTATAGTAACAATAATTAAGATATTAGTCAGCTGTATAAATTAACTGAAACTTTAATGATCTTTTATGCATTGTAGTTCTCTTGCATCACATGCAATATCAGACTACATTTATTTATTTTTAACA